GTTCCTCAAAAGGTTAAACAGACTTATCACATGACCCAGCAATTCCACTCCTAGGCGTATACCCAAGAGAAATGCAAACATACATCCACCCAAAAACTTCTACATGAATATCCATAGAAGCATTATTCATAGTAACCAAAAGGTGGAAACAACCCAAATGTCCATCAGCTGTTGAACAGATAAACTAAATATGGTTTATCCACACAGTGGACCATTATTTGGCAATAGAAAGGAATGAAGTATTATTTATGCTACAACGTGGGTGAACCTTGAAACAATGTTTTCATGACATATCCTTCTATAAATGCATACTTAAATCCCAATTTTTTGGCAGTCCTTAGCATTTTGGAAGGGAGTTGCTGGTAAACATCATTATAATAATAACAAAAACGGTAACAATAATGATAGCTAATATTTGTTAAGTGCTCAGTTTATGCTAAGCACTTTTGCGCAATCTTATTTCAGGCTCCCAGTAATTTTGTGAGTTAAATGTTATTAACCCCATTTCGCAGTTGAGGAAACTGAGGCCAGAGAGCAAAGGTCAGGTACCCAGAATATGATGGATGTGAACTTGTACCCTTAATCCCTCTGGTGAAGAGTTTCCCAGCAGGGCTTAGCACATGTTTGCCAAATGAATGCAGTCCAGGCAAGACTGGACCCTTGTCTCCATCCTTGTTGGAGGGCAGGGGAACTTTCTCCCAGGGAGCTATCTGGGCAGGTGGCTGGACATCCCACCTGTGGTTCCTCCTCGAGTTTACTCTGACCATGATTGTTCTGGAGGGAAACGGCTACAGCCAGCCAGAGCTAGGGGCGAGGGGCTATTTTGGGAGAAGACAGGGCGGTGGCATCTGAAGCATCCCCTCAGGAAGACTTGGCGGCACTGCCCTGATCAACCACCTCTGCAGCTTCAGAGAGGCTGGCAGCTGCCTGAGTTGGGGGCTCTGATTATCTGCCTCTGTCCTCCAAACCTACCATGGGCTCCTTGTTCTGATGGATTTCTGAAAAATTTTTAAGTGAACAAATTAGTGACATTAAGTACATTCAGGTTTTTTGTTTCAGTCGTCTAAAAACAACTGTGCTTCTTATATATTTTATTAACAAGCACCTAGATAGCACTTTCTGTGTCCTGGCTACTGTTCTAAGGGCCATATGACTGTTTATTCATTTACTCCTTATACTGTTTCTCTGAGGCAGGTGCTGTTATTATCCCCATTTTACAGATGAGGAGACTGAGGCTCAGGCGGCTCAGACTTGCCCAAGGGTATAAGGAGCAGAGCCAAGACCTGACCCCAGACAACCTAGCCAGAGCTGCCCCCTCTTAGCCACACCCCCATGCAGTTCAAGGCTTTGCTCTGCGCCCCTGTCCATCCACTGATTTTCAGAGATGTGGCGTAGTTGACCTGGCAGGGCTGCATTAAGCTGTGAGCTCCTCAGGCGGCTGCTCAGGGTCTGATTTTGCCCCATCCCTGGTCCCAGCACGTGGAACACCTGGCCCAGTTAGTTAGTGCCAGGAAGGCCGCGGCTCAGTGTAATGGGGAAGAGCTTGGGCAGGTGCACTTTCTAGCTGTGTGACCTTGAGAAAGTGACTTCACCTCACTGAAGTCACGTGTAATTGTGGCCATAGCACAGAGCTGGGCACAAAGTGCTCAACCAATAACAGATGAATATTATTAATCAGAGTAGTAGAAGAGACCGTTGTTGAGTGGATGCATTAGAACAGAGGTGGGCAAACTTTTCCTGTAAAGCACCAGACGGTAAATATTTTTGGCCTTGCAGGTCACGGACTTCGGTGGCAACTACTTAACCCTAGATAATAGTAAACAAATGGGTGCGGCTCTGTTCCAATAAAACTTGATATGGACGCAAATCTCAAGGCCATATAATTTTCACGTCATAAAATTACTCTTTTGGGTTTTTTTCCCACACCTTTAAAAATATAAAGAGCGTCATTAGCTCACAGGTGGGACAGAGGCAGCGGGCTAAATCTGGCCTGTTGCCCTGACTTGCTGACCCCTGCAGTAGAACGTGAGCTCTACAGGGGAGTTTTGGATACTGGGTTTCCTGTAGTCACAGTGCCCAGAATAGTGCCCAGCACATTGTAGGCAGTCCATAAAGTTGTATGAAATGAATGAATCTGGTTGTTGAAGTGGGTCTTGAGCTGGCCCTTTAAGGCTGGGAGGTGGAAGGACTGAGAAGGAACATTCCAGAGGGGAGAACAACCAGAGCAAAGGAGTCAGGGGTATATCCTGTGGGTGTCTCCCTTTGGCCCAGTGAAGCCATCAGTGGCCTGATGGAGACACCTGGGCAACAAGGCCAGATCTAATGGGGCGGTTAGGGGTCTGGGGTGGGCAAAGGAGTCAGGGGTGGGGCTGGATACTCTCAGACGTGCTTCCACTGGGTTATTGCCCTGCCCCATCCCTGAACCACCACCAGCCCTATTTTTAACCCTGCTGACGAAAGAAAATCTGTTGAAATCAAGAAGGGTGACTGATCCCTGCCCCACCCTGTGCCCCAGTTACTCTCCTTCCCTTCTCCCCATTAGGGGCAGAGCCATCCTAGGAGACCCTCCCCAAGAAACATCGAAGTGGTCATAGGAAAAGAGATGGTTCCTGCGCTTCCCTAGCAGGACCTGGACTCAGGGAGGGATCCTGGTGCTTGAAGAGAGCCACTCAAGGCTCCTGGGGGGTTGAGCAGGCCGGGAACTGCCCAAGAGAAGACTGGATTTTCTCTCTGTCTGACTAGTGCATGCTTCTCAAATTTTAATGAGCAGTGGAAGCAGCTGGAGGTTTATAAAATACAGATTCCTGGGCTCCTCCTAAGAAATTCTAATTCAATAGATCTGGGGTGGAGCCCCCAAAGCTGCATTTTCAACAAGTGCCTGGATGATGAGGGGCTGGGGGGTTGGTGAATGGACCACACTGTGAGTGCCACTGGACCAGAAGATAGCCTTTGGACCACAGCAGTTCAGCCTGCCCTGGTAAGCTGCCAGATATACCCCATCAAGGCTGCCTCAGGCCGAGAATTTGGAGAGCCTTGAAGGCCACCCTAAGTAGTTTGGACTTTATTTTCAGCACAATAGGAAGCCTTGCAAAGATTTTCAGCAAGAGGTGAGGCCAGGAGATGTATGGGTTAAGCAAGCTGCATGTCATTGGTTGTAGGAAGCGAGCCTGGAGGCTACAGATGGGAATGGGGGACCTTGCAGGAGGAGTGATAGAAGGAAGGAGAATGGGCAGATTCAAGAGCTGTAGGGGGAGCAGGAGAGACAGGAGTTGGTGGTTGTTGTCTGTGAATATTGAAAGATGAGGAAGGGGGGTGTGGGAGACGCTGGGATTCCTGGCTTGAAGGCTGGGGAGCTGGGGAGCTATTCCTGAAATCAGAAGCATTTTGCATGGGGAGCTAATAAGGTATTCAGTTGGTCAGACTGATGGATGTGGACAGAGGAGCGTGCTTCCTTTAAACCCAGCAGCCCTTATTGCCTTGGGCTGTGTGGCCACTCCCCTCTGACCCCTGTTCTGGCTGCCCTGGAGGGTCCACCGTTGATCCCCCAGAATCTTCCAGGGCTCAGTGTGGAGGTTGCCATTCTGGCCTGAGGAGTCCTGCAACACAGCTTCCCAGGGCACCGGGAAACAAGCCTCATCCAGCTCACGTTACCAAAAAAGGACATTTTCGCAGTTTGAGGGTTTGCCCAGCCCTTTCCCTCCTCCCCCAACCTGGGGTTTCAGGTTTCCAGGGAAGTGTCTCTGAAAATTTAGATCTTTGAATCACACATACCCATGTACAGGCAAATACGAGTCTGGGGATATGCATGTACCACACTCGGTTTTAAAATTTTTTAAAGTATAGTTGATTTACAATATCATGTAAGTTTCAGGTGTACAGCACAGCGATTCAGTTATACGTATATATATGTATGTGTATATATATTCATATATCTAGGTATGTATATACATATTATATATATATATATTCTTTTCCAGATTCTTTTCCCTTATAGGTTATTACAAAATACTGAGTATAGTTCCCTGTGCTCTACAGTAGGTTCCTTGTTGGCTCCACACTGGAGCCAACATTTTGATGTCACAAATGTCATCTTCCTCCTTCTCCTTCTCCACCACCACCATCACCACCATCGTCACCATCATCATCATCACTAAGCCCCATCCCGGGCTAAACACTTTTATGTGTTGCCTCTCAGTAGTTTTCACAGCAGCTCCAGGGGGAGTGAGAGACACAGAATCAGACAGGGAAGTAGCCAAGCAGGGATGTGGTCTTACCTGGAGTCCAGCTTCAGCCTGATCCCATACATCTTTATTTTTACTAACCTCTAACTGAAATTTAGTATTTTCTTCAATTATGGAAGTTGGCAATAAATCAACAGTAGTATTAGCAGTATCTCTGACTTTGTCACTAATAGAAATCACATATATTTTCATGTCACATTACTGTTGTTGCACGTATCCTTGAAATATTCTTTATGTTAATCTATACTTTTAAATTATGGTAGTTAATAGACCTGCTAGATATTTTGTTTAAAGTGTTAATAAAGAAGAATATACATTATTATATTACAAATTTGTCCCTTTAAATATTTTGGTAACAGTGTGTCAATATAATTGCATCCCTTTGTAATCCTGTGTAATTTGTGCATTTTAAAACATTCCAAGAAGGGGTCCAGCGGTGTCACCAGATGCCAGGAAGATCTGTGACACAAATGAGGTTAAATTCCCTGTTCTGGGCCTTGGCCTCTGCATTCTACCAGCAACAGGGGGAAAAGAGAGGATGAAGAGGATTACAGGGGGGGTTTCTGTGGGCCAGGTCTGGAAATGGCATAATCCTGTCTTCCCACAATGCTTTGGCCAGTCACCTGACCACACCTAACTGCAGGGGAGGCTGGGAAATGTAGTCCATCTGTGTGTCCAGAATGAAGAGGAAGTGGTCTGGGGAATGCACAGCAGTCTGGACCACAGGGCTCAATAAATATTCATTGACAGCTGGAGTGAATGAAAATTCTGTCCAGAGTGTCTCTTTGTGGGTTGGGGAGGAAGGGCAGAGGACTAGTTCTCTGGAGGGATCCTGAGTCTCCACCATGTTGTCTCCTTAGGACAAGTCACGCCAAGGCCAAAGCTGAGGCAGCAGAACAGGCTGCCCTGGCTGCCAACCAAGAGTCCAACATTGCCCGCACTTTGGCCAGGGAACTGGCTCCAGACTTCTACCAGCCAGGTAGGGCCAACCAGGGAGGGGAGGGGCAGGACGGGGTAGGGGGAGGTCCTGGGGGGGGGGTGGACACCTTTTCTTTGCTTGTTGGAAAGCTGAGATGCTCAAGTGGGTCCACGCATGCCTTTGAGTTCCAGAATCTGTGGGGCGTGGTGCAAGCATGGGATGGGTGCAAGCATGGCACAAGGGGACTCATGCTGAGATTGTGGCGGGGTATCAGAGGCTCCCCCCACTCCAGCCCGTCTCTTCTCTCTGGGAAACGGGGCTGCAGAGTAAGGAGGACCCCCTGGCTCTGATACAGACTTTGCATTTGGATAGAGCGGTGGGAGCCCATCAGGGTGGGGGACTGGTGCTGCCTGCACTGAGGGTTTTAAGGTGAGTGGCACGATTAGATTTGTATTTTCTAAACATTCTGGCTGCGGCCGGAAGACCAAAGGGAGACTAGATGGAAGACCGCGGAGCGCAGATCTGTGCCTGGGAGGTTAAGTCGCTTCCCATCACAGTGCGCCCCCTGCTGGTCCAAGGAAGAGCGACCCTGGCTGGCTGCCTCCGCCCTTGGGTGGTCATAGCAACAGCTGTCACCACGTGCCAGGCACTGAGCTCAGCATATTACAGGCATTTTTTTTTCCACCCGATTAATCCTTCCGTTAGTATTTATGAAATAGGTATGATTGGGCCCGTTTTTCAGATAAGAGAATGGAGAGAGACCAGTGTGACCATACAGAGCATAAACTCTGGAGCCAGACTAGCCTGAGTGCCAGTCCTGGCTCTGCCCTTGGTCAGCGGAGTGACTCTGGGCAAGTGATTTTTACCTCTCTTGAGCCTTCTTTTCTTCATCTGTACAATGGAGGCTAAATAATAGCATACGCCGCATAGGGTTATTAAAATGATTAAATGAGTTAGTATTGGGGAATTGCTTAAAACAGTACTTGGCACTTGGTGGCCGTAGGTTAAGGCTGGCTGAGTACATAAATGAGACTCAGAGCGGCTTGCCCTGGGTCATCCAGTGCTGGGACCGGGGTTCGATTGCAGCCTCCCCGTGTGGTCCCGGCAGGTCCGGAGTATCAGAAGCGCCGGCTGCTCCAGGAGATCCTGGAGAACTCGGAGAGCCTGCTGGATTCCCCCCACCGGGGCCCTGGCGCCGCAGGCCTCTCGGAGCGGCCCCGCGAGAGCCCGGAGCTGCACGAGCGCGAGACCCCTGCGCCCGAGGGTGGCCCCCCGTCGCCGGCCGGGACGCCCCCTCAGCCCAAGCGGCCCCGGCCGGCCGCGGCGTCCAAGGACGGCCTGCTGAGCTCGGGCGCCTGGAACGGCGAGCCCGGCGGCGAGGGCAGCCGGCCGGTCACGCCGTCCGAGGCCGCTGGCCGTCGCAGCCCCGCGCGTCCCGCCAGCGAGCGCATAGCCATCGAGGCGCTGCAGGCGCCGTCCGTGCGGTCGCAGGAGCCCGAGGTGGCGCTCTACCAGGGCTACCACAGCTACGCCGTGCGCACCGCGCCGCCCGCGCCGCCGCCCTTCGAGGACGAGCCCGAGCCCGAGGTCCCCGCGGCCGACTCGGCGCCCCCGTCCCCGGCCGCCCCCGGCACGGCGGCCCCGCCCCGAGGCTCCGCGCCCGAGAGCCCCGCCAAGCTGGAACCCAAGCCCATCGTCCCCAAGGCCGAGCCCAAGGCCAAGGCCCGCAAGACGGAGGCCCGGCTGACCAAGGCCGGGGCCAAGAAGAAGGCTCGGAAGGAGGCGGCGACGGCGGCGGAGGTGGAGGTGGAGGAGGTGAGGCTGTCAGTGGGAAGTCGGGTTCCCCACGCGTGGGGGAGCTGGGGGTGGGATTCGGGGGCAGATGGCCGGGTGGCGAGGGTGATGGCGCAGGACAGGGCAGGCGGGATGTGGCCTTAGTTAAGTGCAGCCTGATCCACGGTTATGCAACACAGCCCCCCACCTTGGGGCAGGGGGCTGGCCTTTGTGCCCGCTGTCTGGGCAGTTCTTTGGAGAAGGAGGTGGCTGGGAGTCCTAAGCGGCTGGGGTGGGATGCCCCTGTCCATCAGGCTCCCAGCCTCAGCTGCAAGGTGTAGCAGCAAGGGGCCCAGTGGGGGGCCTGGGTCCTGGACCTCTGGGCTTGCTATAGGAGGCTGGGAGCTAGGAACTGCAGCGCCAAAGACTGAAGCTGGGCTCTGAGGGACTGACAGCTGTGGCCCCAGAGGAATCAGCAGTGGGGAAGGCCGTGTTCTTGGGTTCCAGGCCCAGCTCTGCCCACTGTGTGCTCTGGGATATGTTCTTGCTCCTCTCAGGACCCTGAGCAGTTTGGTTATTTCCAAGAATCCTTCCAGCGCTGATGGTGTGTCCCGGTGCTGGGCACAGCAGTGAGCAAGAGGGTGGGGGTGTGCTCTCCCGGGGACTCAGGCAGCCTCTCTCCACTGTTCCCAGGTCCCCAACACCGTCCTCATCTGCATGGTGATTCTGCTTAACATTGGCCTGGCCATCCTCTTCGTTCACCTCCTGACCTGACCTCATCCACCAGGTGCGGCTGGGAGGAGGGGATGGGAGCCCCTGGGGGAGGAGAGTAAGGGCCAGCTGCCTGCCGAGCGGACCATCCTGTGGTTAACTGAGGCCCGTCCCCCAGCAGAGGCAGGGACCTAGAGTGTGGATTTGAGAGATCACCTCTTCCCAGTACACAATACACACACACACACACCCTCACACAGACACACACACACATACACCCCCTCATTAGCTCAACGTTCGCAGAGCACCGGATCTCTGTCAGGTGAGCACTGGGGGCTTCATTCATTCAGTCATTCACTAACACATCATTAATTTAAGCACAGTTTACTGAGCACCTGCTCGCTGGGATCTAAGGATTCAGCAGGGACTCACTCCTGTCCTAAGAAAGGGGGTGAACATGAGAGTAAACCTTTAACTTATAGCTCATTATGTAAAAGTCTTGCAGTTCAAAGGTCAAGCAAAACCGTTCTTGACTCCATCCCCCCAGACCCCCGCAGGTCTAGACGGAGGCCACCTGGCATGGCCGGGTCCTCTTCTCTCTGTCCTCCAATTCTCTCTTGCTCCCACCCTCTACCTGCCCACCCCCCGCCCCCGCCCTCAGTCCTCTCTTCCTGAGACCCTGCTGTCAGTCAGTTGGTTCCATCAGTTGGTTTTCTCCCTGTGATGGAGCTCAGGGGCTGGGTAAGATCCGGGGGGAAAAGGAAGTGGGCTGGGCTGGGGTGAAGGAAAAAGGCCCTGGTTGGTCTCAGGGTGAAATATCTACAAGGCAAATAAAATCTTTCTCCTGCCGGGACCACTTTACACTATAATTCCTGTGCTTGGTGATGCTAACAGAGTTTCTGCCTCTTGCCCTCCCCCACTCCTCCAGAGACCCCCTCCCTTGATCCTAGCTTAGTGTGGGCTGGAGGAGTCCTACTCCTCAGTCCCAGAGGAGAAGGAGAAGGAATCCTTGTCCTGTCACCGGGTAAATAGCCAGTGACAATATTAGCCTGGTAGGTGCTGGCGTGCGGGTGGATGCTGAGCTAGGCAGGGTTCATGTCTCATAGGGGATCTGGGAATGATTGCGGTGGGGACTGCCAACTTCCTGACCTGAAGGATGGCGAGGGGCGAGCCAGATGGCAGTGGGGGAGGAGGAAGAAAGGGAAGAGTGTCCCAGGTAAAGGGAACAGGCAGAGACAGCAAATAGGCAGCGGCAGCATCCAGCGGGGGGCCTTGCAAGGGCCAGGGGAGGCCTCCGGGACTTGTATCTGATCCCACTGAGTCAGAGCCAAGGGGCAAGGCTGCCCTGGGGGCTTGGGGAGGCGGGGCTGGTGGTGGTGATGGAGATGTTGCCCCAGAGAGCATCAGGCCTGAGGCTTGAACCCTGCCTGGAGCCTGGCTGAGCCCCAGCCTCCCTGCCCTTCTCCCCGCTCCCTCCTTCCCTCGCCTGACCCTCTTGCTGTATCTTTGCAGAGCCAGGAGTTCCTGCTGAGAATGCGTGGACCCATCTTTCTGCAGTGCCCCACAGGGCAGCCGAGGAGGACTGGACTCTGGACCTGGATGCCGGGGGTCCAGCTCGCATCCACACCACAGACATTTAAGGAGGTTTCCCGTGGCGCCCATGCCCGACGCAGGCGGTGCCCAGAGGGAGAGAAAGGGCCGGGCACCCTCCGGGAGCTCTCTGCCCAGTGGCAGGGAAAGCCCTGAAGGCAGAGCCTTGGTCTTGAGCACCCTGATCTGCTCCGTCCCCCATCCTCATCCACTCCCTCGCCTCACCTCTGGGTCACCCCCTCCCCGGGCTTTTCTGTGTTTTGGGAGAAGTCACCAAACCAGGATGTTAAAATCCCAGTCGCCTTCTTTCTACCCTCCCTGCTTTCTTTTATCCTCTGGCTGCTGGGCTGAAGCCTCTCGGGCAGGTGGAGGGAGTGACAAGATCCTTGCGGTGGGCCAGCGAGGGAGACGCTCCGACAGCCCAGTGGCCCATCCCATCGCAGTCCGGACCCCGCCCACACTCTGTCCCTTGCTTACAGATGTTCTGGGTGACAGTAGAGGAAATGGACATGTTCCATTTGAATATCCCAGGATACAGTGCTTCTGTCTCCTCCCACTGGTCCAGTTAGCTTCCCTCTGGACCAGTAGAAGAGGGAGAGACGGGAGGAATTGGGGCCTTTGGCTGGGAAGCCACTGAGCAGGTGGCCAGGGGGTGGGGGTGGGGAGAAGGGCTAAGGGGTGGTGAGGATGGCCCTGTCTCTGAGTGCACCTGAGCCTGGGGCTGGCATTGCATGTGGGGCTTCCAGGTTGCTGAGGGGGGAGAAGGGGTCGCCCTGCAGGAGCCGTGGGGCTGGTGCAAAGCTCCGGGGATGCCCCGTGAGTTAATTTGTCCGCTTCCGCTCCCAGGGGCCACCGCAGGCTCGGGGAAGCGTGAGCATGGAAGCCCAGGCAGATTTCACTAGGGCTGACTCTCGGGCAGGTGTGAAGACAGGTGCTTGTCAGCCAGCGTTTCCCAGGGAGAGGGGAGCAAGTCTGGGCCCCCCACTGGGCACAGTCTGTGATAATAAGCCCCTCGGCTTGCTTGGCAGAAGATGGTATTTGCATGTAGCCCCTTAACAGATGTTTTGTACCACGCTGATCCTTCTGGGCCTTGGTGTTGGCTGCAGCTGGGGGGAGGCTGAGGGCTGTGGCCTCTGCCCCGGGGAGGATGGAGGGCAGGTCTTCCAGGCCCCTCCAAGCTGAGCCGGGGGAAAGGATGCGGCCGTGGCACCTAAGCAGAGCTGGAGGGGGCAGCTGCTCATCTTTGTTTATCTGCCCCCTGGGGGCTGGGGCGTTGTGGTCTGGCCTCTCCGGGGCAGCTCTTTGACCTGGAGTTTGCTTCTGATGGGGTTGGCTTTCCCCTCCTCCCTCAATACTTGGGAACCTTCCCTCCAGCTTCACACTTGCTGTTTCAAGCACCGCTGGGGTCTCGAGGCGTGGTTGGAACCTTGGACTGCATTTCCTCGGAGAGGAGTCCGTGGGTTCTCCCATCCTCCAAGGGCTCTGCCTCTGTGTGGGGGCTTTCCTGGACAGCTAGGGAATGAGGGGGGAGGGCTGGGGGCACTGCTCAGGGCTGACGGCCTCCAGGCCTCGGCTCTGAGGTCACTGTCGAGGGTTTCTGGTCTGGCTCGGGGCCAGGGATATAAGCCTTTGGCTGCCAGAGCTCCCTCCCGGGGCCTTGTTTGGGGGCTGGTGTTTGGGGTGAGGGTTCAGGAAGCTGTCGTCTGTGCCATAATAAACTTGCATCTGCTCACAGGCTCTGGCTGGGCTGCAGTGTCTGCTTGTGGGCTCAGGACGAGGGACTGGCTGAAGGGGAAGAGAGGCCTGGGACCCTGGGTCATGCTGGTCCAGGCCCTGTCTCTCTCTTACAGTTCCCATAATACCTCCTGAGGGGTGGCTGAAGGGCTTCAGTTCTGGAGGGATGCCCCAAAGGCCACAGACCTTCTAAGGCAGACCCTGGGTTTCTAAAGCAGACTTCCAGAAGATTCCCTAAGCAGCATATAGTAGAAGAAAGAGCCTGCCTTTTTTTTTTTTTTTTTTTAATCTTTGGCTGCACTGTGTGGCCTGAGGGATCTTGGTTTCCAGACCAGGGATCGAACCCATGCCCCCTGCATTGGGAACGTGGAGTCTTAACCACTGGACTGCCAGGGAAGTCCCCAAAGAGCCTGCCTTTTGAGATTGGCCTCCCTGGGCTCTAGTCCTGCTCAGCGTACTTATTTCACTTCTCTGAGCCTCAGTTTCCTCATCTATAACATGGGGAAAATAATAATACTACCTCCTGGGGTTGTAGCGAGGATAACGTTAAATGTTGAAGCTTATGTAAAGCCCAGCTGTTGAGAGCAGTGAGAAGTGCAGACTTTCCATTTTGGGATCCTTATTGCTTTTGCACGAAACTGCTGTCATCAGTCCTCTCACAAGCCTTTTGCATTTTGATAGAGACCCCAGAAGCCCCAAGGGGGTGGAGATGATTCACGCCCCCGTCAGAGAGTCACAGAATGTCTCAGTCAGAGGGGGGACCCAGAGACCATCTTCATACTCTACAGAGGCTCAGAGAGGAGAAGAGACTTGCCCAAGGTCACACAGCAAGTCAAGGGCAGGAAAGCAGTTATCTTGTTTGTGGATAAGTATTAAGGTTCTCTCAAGGCCAGGAGCCCCCAGTGAGATGGTTGGAGGGGAGGGTCCCTCGCCCATCAACTGGCTTGAGTGCAGGCAGGTCCCGGGGTGCTTTGGCGATCAGGAGCCCTGGCTTTCTGCCAGGGCTTTCTGCGTGCCAGTCAGCCCCTCTTTCTGGGTGTCAGCTTCCTCTTTTGCCAAGGAGACCATCGTTCCTGCCCTGTTGCCTTCTTCACAGGCAGTGCAGTTGTAAGAATCAAATGAGGTAGATTATGGGTGGTAAAGAGATTGTCAAAACCCTGGAATAATCCAGGGATCCCCAGGAAGAAGGATGGGTTTGGAGGGACTACGGGAGGGAGTGGGAGGGAGTGGTAATCTGCAGAGGTTTGGGTAAAATCCACCAAGAGAAGGGGTGTGGGGTAGGGTGGCAGGGCAAGTGGGCAGCCAGCCCAGTTGACTAGTCTGTAGACTGGATGTGTGTGTGTGTAAAGTGGGAGTGTGGGGTGGAGAGCAGGAGGACGGCTGCATTAGAATCACCTGGAATGGTTTGGCAAGAAAGCTCACTCCCGAGCCCCACTCTGGAACTTCCGAGTCAGGTAAGGTTGGTCGGAGTCGGGCGCCCCCTGGTGGCGAAGGACAGCTTACAGCCTGGCTGGTTCCTTTTTCAGCCTTGGCCACTGGCAGCTCTAGAAGTTTGTCCTGTCCTCTGCCAGGTCCAGGATCCGGTTAAGGTGTCTTGTGCCATAGGGGAACTTAAAACCACCTTGTGGGCATTGCCAGGGTCTGTGATCACTGACCACTGCCTTGGGGTCTTGGCAGGACTCTTCCAGGGCAGAAAAAGGGAGGGGGCCTGGGAGCTGTGGGATTCAGATTAGGGATTTGTGGCAAGATGGG